TCACAGAACAGGCAGCATCGTTTGCATGCTCAATACAGACACTGCCAAATTTAAAGCAATGCTATGACAGAGCAGGAGGACTTGCTCAGAGCAGGCAAATGGCACAAAGCTAGCAGGAGCCACACACTAATGCCCTGGTGACACTCAAGGCCCAGTCTAGCAATGCATATCAATGATTGCAACATGCATTCACAGAAGCACTGACACACTCAAAAATAAAGACAAATCTAAGTGCTTTAAAGAACCAAAACACAGCTTGTGGCTTCCTACAGAATTATTTCTCCTGAAGGGTGTAAGCTATATCTAACTCCCCACATGCAGGAAGAGAATGTGGCAGAGTTTAGGAACTTTCTTTACATGGTTTATAGACATTCATCTTGGAAGTTCATAGGTGTGATCACTGCAGGTGAGCAGTTTCCAACATGCAGTTCATGCATGTAGGCATCAGCGGACTCCTCCCAGAGGAGGGGCAGAATGCAGGCACCAAGGCATTGCTACAGGCTGCTCCACACCACTGCTCAAAGACAACTATGGATCCCCAAACCACCACAACGGTTGCAGCAGGGCAAAGGCAGAGGTGGTGCTGCTAACCGTAACGCCAGAGAAGAGAAAAAGAAAAGTTTCAGTGGAGCTGTATCTGCTAACGGCATGGCAGAATTTGGTGCAGTGTTCATAAGCATAATACAACTTAAAATAATGACCTGAATATTTAGCTATTCAGTAACCTGTGAGATACTGACCATGAATTACATTGATCAGACACACCGGCAGTTCCAGAGCACTTTTTGGTATTGCAAAAATCACCACAGTACCCATGTAAAATTAAACATGCAGAATGCCTGTACAGTTACCAATCAGTGCTGAATTAACTGGCATGTGATATTTTCGTATCAATATATTTCCGTGCCAATGCTTACAGCAGGAATTTTGTTTAGCTCTTGCTATTAGAAAGGCAGCAACTCTCCCTCCAAAAGCTTGCGGGTTAAAATCCACTCTTAAAAGCAAACCCCTCAGAACCTGAACTGTGGTCTGATTGCTGATATATAAATCCACAAGCAGCTTACAAAAGGTGTAAAGACAACGGTGCACCTTCTTTGCACGGAGCACAGAGATGGGGAGCACTCGGTGCTCCATCTGCTTTGTCTGCAGACACGTGGCCGAGCGCCTTGCAGAGCAGTGAGCTGGCCTTCCTGTACCCACACCTTGACATTCTCCTGAAAATCATGACTAACTCTTTAATCATTCCTTACTCAACAAAACACTTCAACACGAGAACAGATACATTCGGTCTTTCAAGAGCTCTCAACAGCTTCCAGAATATCAGTTGATTCACTTCAGAAGCCGCACACCAAGTAAACATCTGCCTCATGATTCAAGGCTGCAAGATTCCCTCTCGCGGACAGCACGGAGGAGAGAGTCATGACGAATCACCCCTCGCACGTACAGCACAGGATGGCTTCCAAAGGCCCAGAAGTGACAGCCTCTGCAGGAACCATTGGGTGTGGTTACAAAGACAGCAGCTCAAAACCAACAGCACCCTTTGAAACCGGCCCGGGCTCAACACATCCTATAATCAGTGTCCCGTCCTGTAATCAGAGTCACAGCTCTACGAGGGATGCAGAAAGCTGCCTTTGGACGCACTGCACACTGGAGCCACCAAACAGAGATAACTGCAACTACACGAACATACAAACTTTGCACGAGGTCACCATGGTGCACCGTATACACGCATCACAAACAGCCAGACTTTGGTTCTCTCAGTCCCATCCCACCCTCTCCAATCTTCAGTGGCCGAACGTCTTTTCATTTCAACATTACTTCTTTCCTTTGATTTGCTGAAGCAACACAATGTCATGTAATTGCACTCCTAAAGCTAAAATTCACGTTTGTTATGCAGCTGCAGAAACCCTGTGTCCATAAGTACGTGTAAGAGTGTGACCCGCAGGGCAAACCTTGAACTCCAATGCACCTTGGTGAACCTGCCAGGAGACCTCCCTTCTGCAACAAATCCTCCGGAACAGATTTTTAAATGAAAGCAGGTTTCAGCTTCTGTTATACTGTCACTCCATCAGTAATACTTTGCTATAGGAATACCTTAACCGTAACACACCCTGAAGTTGTCCCAAGAACAACGTTACAAGAAAGTGAAGTTTAGACCATCAGATCTAGAACAAAGCAAAGGGGAATTCTTCAGCCTTCAGAGTGAGACACTTGATTTGTTTTCATGATTTAAGCTTAACAAAATATTAAGTAATAGGGACACCAGTAAGCGGTGAGAATTGATCATGGATAAAGGCGAAATTTTATTTCTACATATGAAAGCATCCGTGTGCGTTGTGTTTTGTAAACACAGTTACAAGGAAAGCTGTGCTGAGTTTTTCCCCCTGCACTTGTTTTAGCTGCTGCATATAAGAGTTGGTTAAATCTAAAAGGATAAAGGCCTGTTATTTTTTATTTTTTATTCTTAGGAACAACTCACAGAGGTGATGAGAAAACTGAGATATAAGCAATTATGACAGTATCTCACCCCTTAGCCAGTAGCATGTAACCCTTTCACACATGATAGATTTCATAAATTAGATCAGGGAAAGAACAAAATCATACTTATAGTGAAAAACCTCTATGGCATTTGCATTATTTGTGTCAAAAACCATCGTGCTCTATTGGATATTGGGATTTTTTCCTCTTCTGAACAGAACATATGCTGAGTGAATACTGTATATCTACACTACATAAATTTCCTATCTATCCGGACAAATGTGCGTGGTTCATCCGCACTGATTCAGCAGATGGCACACTGAAATCCCACCAACACTTAACACAACAGTGGACAATAAATGTGCCTATCACAGAGGCAGATGCAAAGCCTCTTCACTAAAAGCCTTGGTGCTGTCAGCTGACTGCTCCATCACGTATCCCACAATTACTTTTAATATTCTGCCTATTAATGCTCCCCTCTCTCTCTCTGTAAAACCTTACAGAAGAAATAAAACTCCAAAAACAGAAGACAGCCCTCACTACCCGATGACTACATTCACCTGGAAGAGTTTAGGCGTTTTCTGTTTCACGTATTCTTTTTAATTTTTTCCCTGCTTAACCATGAAACATGGCATCCAAGTCTGAAGGCTGTGTCACCAATCTACTAATAGAACTGCTCCGTACAGCAACATTAATGAAGAAATGTTTTGTGCAGCTTGGATACAGAAAGTACAGGAAACACTGAAGATCCTCAAAGGTAAACACGTGGTGCACAGCAATTAGTTCTCCATCCAGCTATGGCTTCTTCGCACAACACTTGCTAGGTTTAATGGTATCACATGATAATTCAATTAAGTAGTTAAGTGTTATTTCCTATTACTTGCAATTTTAGTCCCATTTTTTGGACATTAAGGAAAAAAAAAAACACTTACAAGCAAGACTCCATTTTCTGTTTGCTCCAGACCATTCCCCACCCCCCCAAAAAGCTAAAACTGAACATCACTGGGACATAGCAAAAACCTTTCTAATTCTGAACACAGGCACTTTTTCATAACTACCATGGAAATAAATGACCACAAAGTAATTACACAAAGCACCGACTCAAAAGCGATGTGTACAAAATAAGTATCGCCTGACAATGCAACGTGCAAAGTGCCGATAGGGTGATCTTATAGGACTGAATGCACAGTTCAGACGTGCTCACAGCCTCAGCACCTGGGCACAGGAGTGTCTTTTCACGGCACAACCACACTGACTGTCACGGATGCAGAGTGCGTCTGCCTTGAGCTGCGTTGCACGGACCCCACTTCTTGCACTACACCTTCTGCAAGCATTTACTGCGTCGCATCCAATCCAAACTAAGCGAAAAGTCTGTAAGAGCAAAATACAACACGAACCACGACCTTCTGCTTGAAATGGGACGCAACCACTGACTTTTCAAGTCCCCACGACTGAAAAGACGCTGCACCGTGCATACTCCTCTCAGCACTGCGCCCCTGAGTAAATAAAGATGTAACTTGTCTCCCTTTCAACTGCAACGCTAGAAGGGCTGTCAGGGCTTCACAAAACCCTCCTGTGTTAGGGAACGGAAACTCCTAATGAGATTAGTTGGTGTGTGTGCAGACATTACTTAGCCATGACTAAATGGGCTCTCTTCCTGCAGCCAGTGGAAAATTCAGGGAACTTTTTCCCCCTGCAGCATCAGAGTCCCTCTAACCTTCAGCACAGCCAGATCCAAAAACAACTCTCCACTTTCTCTCCCTTTCTCTCTCTCTCTCTCTCTCTCTCTCTTTCTCCTCACAAACATTAGCAGCGTTTTTAGGCTGGTGGTGGAAACTACCGACGGCGGCCAAGGGGTCTCGGGACAGAGCGGGAGGGGGAGGGCCGGCAGAACGCAGAGGACTACAAAGGAAACTGTAAAAAGAGCAAATACATAAACCTGAGAGGGAGAAAACCACAGAGTTTCTTTGTGAGCAGCAGTGACTCATTTTCAAGATGTTGTCTGCTGCCAGTTTCAAACCGGAAGCGCATGGCAATTAGTCTTGCTGTTTCCAGACGAGCCAGAAACTCTCCCGACACTTTTTTTTTTTTTTTTTTTTTTTTTTTAAAGCCCCTCGTGCAGTTCCCTCTGCAGCCATTCCCCCCCAACCCCCCCTCCGGCCTCCTTCGCCCTCACGGCGGCTCCGGGGGACCCCTCCGGCGCCCCATATCCGCCGTGACACCGCCCCGCCGCCGCCAGCGCGACGCTGCCTGGGGGAGCCGAGCCGTGAGGCCGGGGGGACGCGATGAGCTGCGGGGAGCTCGGGGCTCGCCTACCCCCGGGACAGCCCTCGGCTCCGCGGAGCCCCCGAGGCGGCGCTCCCCGCTCCCCTCACTCACAGCGCCCGAACCCCGGGGGCAGCAGCCCGATCCGCGCGGGGCTCCTCGCCGCCCCCTCCCGCCCCCCCGCCCGGACCCGCGCGCTCCCCGCAGACCCCCGAAACTTTGCAGTTGTTGTCCCGGCGCTGCGGCGCTGTACCTACCCAGAGCGTGCGGGTCCCTCCCGCTGCCTCGCGGTGTTCAGAGGGAGCCGGGTAAAACCCCCCGCTTTCCCATGCTGACAGCCTTCTGCAAACGCTCTGTTGCTGTTGTAATGAGATCCTGATTTTTTTCCCCGTTTTTTTTTTCTTTCTTTTTTTTTTTTTTCTTTTTTCTTTTCGGTCGGGGTGTGTGTGTGTGTGTGTGTGTCTGTGTGTCTGTGTGAGCAGGAAGTCGGAGCAGTCAGACAGAGAGCCGGCTCACTTCCTTTCCTGCATTATTCCCCAGGCGGTTTGCAGTCTGTGTAAACAGGCTTTTCCTCCCCTCTCCCCTCGCTCTGGCCACTGATGTGCGGCATGGCTGTAACATAAGACACACACATAGCACGGCGCTAACGGGAACTCCGAGCACTCACGAGGAGCTCCCCCGACCTCCACCTCTTCCTGTGCTACACCCCCGGGGAGGAGCCTCGGCCCGGCCCGGCGGCGGGGGGCGGCCCCGGAGCGGCCCCGCAGGTGGCACCGTGGTGTCGGGATGCGGAGCTCGGGGGCCGTGCGGGATGTCCCCGGGGTGGACCTCAAATTGGTACTGAAGTACAGAAGGCAGCAGAACGATGTGGCGCAAAATCGAGGAAAAGTGCGCGCTAAAAGTGAAGGGCTGCTCAAATCATCGAGTTTGAGCAGAGCGTTCCCGCTTCAGATAGCACAGACCAGCAGAAAGGAACTGAGCGGGATTTAAGTTTTGACCGGTGACTTTCAGACCTCGGTTCTCAACTGTGTGTTTGGATTCGTTAGAATGAACGCGTTCCCCAGGGCGTTTATATCTTTATATGGCTTCTCTTCTATCTCGTGTATCTGCGTTATTGAATACTGCATTCAGTTCTGGGTCCCTCACTGCGAGAAAGACAAGGAGGCCCTGGAGTGCGTCCAGGGAAGGGCGACACAGCTGTGAGGTGGCTGGGGCACAAGTCTGATGGGGAGCAGCTGAGGGAACTGGGGAACTAGTTTGGGCTGGAGAAGAGGAGGCTCAGGGGAGAGTTTATTGCCCTCAACAACACTGAAAGAAGGTTGTGGTGAGGTGGGGGTCGGCCTTTTCTCCCACATAACAGTGATAGAACAAAAGGGAATGGCCTCAAGTTGCATCCGGGAAGGTTCAGGCATTGGAATAGGCACCCCATGGAGGTGGTGGTGTCACTGTCCCTGGAGGGGTCAAGACCAGCATAGACGTGGCACTGGGGACATGGTTAGTGGGCATGGTGGGGATGGGCTGATGGTTGGGCTGGATGATGTTAGTGCTCTTTTCCAAACTTAGAAGATTCATTGATTCTATGATTATACTGTCTGTTTCTAAATTTATTTGAAAATTCTCCAAATGAGGGACACGCTTTCTGACTGCCGAGTGTAAAGTGCAGTGATGCTACTAAATACAGAATGTGTTACCATCAATAAGTACCACACTGTTCTTTAACAGTTACACCATTTATCGTTCAAACACTAATCACAGCTCAAAACGTTCTTAACATGAAACAACACAGAAGCTATGCTGATTTTTTACTGCTCTGTAGGGATGTTACTGACAGTGTCACTGGGAACAAAAGTATGCTCCATGTTCTGATGAAACTACAAGGATTGCCACTGTTGATCACTAGTTATGAGTCAACAGCACGCCAACAGCTGGCAGAGAGCAAACGGGGTCTAGGGAAGTTGGTTGGGTTCTCCCTTCTTGTCTTCTAACATGTCATGGGGGACCAATCATAACATCCTGCCAGCACACCAAATGATGTTGCTTTATCATTTTTTTTAAATAATGCCCTTTTAGATGTCACTCTGAATCTTAGATTACAGATGTTGAATCTGCATGCTTTGTGTTTCCCAAATAAAGAAACATTAAAACATTTAACTTCAGGCAGCACATTACTAGATTAGAACATGCAATGGACTAAGTCGTTGCATTAGGTGTTGAAGTCATCAGGGTGCAGGAATCAACTTTCCTTTGGGGAGTGCAACTGAAGACCTGGTTTCCATCAGCAGGGCAGACAGAAAGGCTTTTATGTCACCAATAACTCAATGTTGGACCAACAGCTGGGAGTACCTACTTTCATCTTCTGCATTCATCCTTCATTGATATTGTGAATCAGAGAAGAAGCAGAGACATTTCAAAGTTGCTTTGGCCAGTACCGGCGGTGTGGAGGTCCGAGAGAATAAACTCTCAAAGCCAGTTTTACATTTTCAAACCAAGTCAGTGACTTCTTCTCTGTTACAGAAATAATGTTATGTCCCTAAAAAGAAAGCAAACAGATAAACTCATTCTTTTTATTTACTGTGAGCCCTAGGAATCTGTCTGCAGCACTCGTCCCTCTTTGTCCACGTAGAAAAGCTGAGACCTAAATGAAGCTGCCATGCTCAGGACTGGGCAGGCACCATATGAGAGCTTCGTACCACCCGGGGGATGGTGAGGAAAGTGAAGATGCTGTTCAACTGAAAGAAGCCACCGGCATGTGTTGGAAACATGAAGAAATCAGAAAGCTCTGCTGAAGGTGGAAGAAGAAGTGAACTTTTTGGCTACTGATTCTTGTAATATGGATGTCATCTGGAAAATATTTTTTTGAAGCTGCATCTATGTACTTGATAAAAATACTGTGTTTGTTACAGAGTTGCTATTAAAATTCTCTCATCCGTGATACCTGCGTAGTTCAATTAATGCAGACTTATGGCTGTCCTTCAGGATTGGCTGATGCAAGAATACAAGATGATGAATAAAGAAAATTGCAGGTTTGTACTGTGTAGGAGCTCTTTTCTTTTACAAAAGCAGTTCCATTCAGGAAACCTGTTGGTTGATGTAGTCATAAAAATGCTAGTTATGTGTTCGGAAGGGACTCCAGTCAACTTGTCTCTGCCTATGCCCACCCATCAGCACATATTACAACTGTCAGTTCTAAAGCCTGAATCCCGTCCTCAAGCTGTGAAGATTTTTGGGTTTAACATCACAACTGTTGTTTGTTGCTCAAAGTTGGTCACAACAGCTGTCACACTCAGAAGGAGTGAGGAGTGGCTGGAGATAGCTCTTCTTCCTCTGGGGAGACACAGCACCACGGCTCAGGGTACTGATTTGATGGGTTCAGATCAACCCTGAACAAACATGTGGACCCAAGTTGTCTCTGTGGTCTGTTCATCCTGCAATTGTACAATCTATGAAGGAGCCCATGTTTATAAAGCTGGCTTTTTGCAGAAAAAAAATGTGCTCCAAAGCATTCCTAAGCGTAGTGACTGCAATTCTGCCTCATTTTCATTAGATTACATCAATTAAGAAACCAGGCTTTTTCTGTCCTTTCAGGTCATTTCTGCTGTATTTTTACACTGTTCACAAATCTCATGTGCTTCTATAATTAACCTATCTAAAGCAAAGAAAGAAAAAAATAAAGGCAGATTTGCTGCTCTGCAGAGCTCCATCTAAGCTCTTCAGGCTGAGGTTCATATCTGTGCTGGTCAAGGCTTTAGTGTAAATTCGTTCAGTCTTGAGCTCACATTAGTTTAATCTAAATAATTACAAGGTCACTTTGCAGTGCACCTTTTTCTTTAAAAGTACATCCGTGTTTATAATTGTGTGTGATTATCAAAAATGAAGCTGAAAGGAGATGTAAATAATGGTCATTTCATTTACTAATTTAACTGCAAGTGTATTCAATGCACATATATATGTTATACTGCCTGCTCTAAATCCTTTGTGTTTTTTTCCAGATTGCAGACTCTGTGGTGAAGAGGTTTTGGATTTATATCTGTGTTTCTGATAACACCACAAGTTGTGAGGCAGAATCAGTAGTGTCTGTTCTTGATTATTTCCTCGTAGTTCTGGTTTGAGGAGCCACCTGCCCGGTTTCAAGGGGATTCCCAGGGGATTTTGGAAAGCGAGTACACAGAAATGGATCACCTGAGTTGTAACAGCAGCCTAATTTGTGTAGGATTTTGGATTGCCCTTCACAACACTCTGCTTAAATGCCTTACAAATGTTGCATCGGTACTGATGAACGTTCTTCCTGCAGGTTTGGCTTTCCTCTTTCACACTTCCCCGTAGCTGGACAAACACAGGCTTCAGAGCCAACAACTTCATTACTGCAAAAAGTCCCAGAGGATCCATTCTGCTCACAGAGTGGCCAGGTCCTCGGTTTTATCTCATCTCGCAGACAGTTTCGCTGGCAAGCAGAGCACCGTCTGCAGTACTGTACAGCGCTACCTCCAGGGTGTCATGCTGACTGTAAGCCCTTGGAAACTCAAAAGAATGGACTGTACATTGTTCCCCTTTGAGTGTTCTTTCTTCCAGGGCTTTGCTGAGCTGTCTTAAGTAAAACTGCGAGCTTTAGAAAAAGGTTAAACAGTAGACAATGACAAAACTGTGCGTGCTGTTAGAAATTGGATATGATTAGTGGGAAAAAAAACAATTGCATGTCAGCATCAAATGGTTGAAAATCTCGTGCCACATTTTCTGGAGCAAATTCTGCAAGTTTCAACCTAAAAAGTTTCCTGTCAGAGGCCGGAGACAGGCTAAATACTTCTTCACACAATGAAGCAAGTATCCTGTGCAGACCTCGACCAAGGAGTCCCTGGGGACTTCTGTTTCCTCTGGGACCACCTTCCAGTCCCTCGTGGCAGAGGCAGTGAATGAGCAGTTCTGCTGGGCTGCAATTAGAAGTCTGCCTTCAGTCATTAGAGAATGACGTTTTGAGACCCTGAGGTGTTCGTCCTGTTCTCTACCCAGCCCAATAAGGCTGTGGTGCTGGATCAGGAAGGAGTGTTTGGGGAAATTACTGCTTTTACATTCCTTTTCCTCTGGCACATTTTTTCTTCCCTGAATGTTTTGTGTTGTTCCCTATGTGTTGCTGTGGAAGAAAGCACATGACCCAACATGTTTAGATTAAAAGCATCACTTACATCTGCTATTTCATTAGGTTTGCCTTCTTAGTGAAAGATTTATATGGAATTACCTCCTGTGTGCAGTGTAATTATCTATGATTTTTTGTCATTTCAGGAATGTCATGCCGTGGTGTGTTGCAGGAGCCTGTGGCACCTAAGTCAGCAGTCCCTGAAAACAGGGAAAGAAGATTCCACGAATCCCTGGATATCCCCATGGTCAAATCCGGCTGCAAAGATTAACTGAGAGGTCACTGTGTGTCTCTTAAACCTTTCAATATGTTCTACTGCAGGTTTTTTCCCAGGCTAATTAATTAAAGGTCTGAGCTATAAGTTTAGTTGTATTTTATCCCTCTTTTCCTTCTGTCTTCCATCTGTCTACTTTACTCTAACTTAATCTCTAAATATAACTTCACCAAGGTATTGCTGCTGCCCAGTATCACCATAGCACCTGAATATAATTAAACAGCTTTTACTGTTCTTGAATGTTTTTGATCCAGAGGAACACGACTCACTGCTGCTTCTGTTCAGCCCACACTA